ATTCTTCGTCATTCCATAGGCCAGAACAAGAAATAATAAGTTTAAATTATAACAAAACAGATTTTAGTTGAATGTTAGGCAAAGTTCATAATGATAAGACTAGTTTGGCAATCAGTTAACAAGGGGAAGAAGGAACTCTCATTTACTGGATATAGTCATGCCAAGATTGAAGAAGATGCTTTAATTTGGATTTCTGCATGGGGCAGGCAATTAGATTTGCTACCCTAAATGGCCACTTCCACCTCTATGGGTCTATTAAATATTTTTATTTTTATTTCTGTCCTCTGTCATTTTAAAGACAGAAGCTGGTGCAATCATTCAGGAAGAAATAAGTATTCCGTTTTATAGTCTTTTGCTATTAAAAGTCAATTCTACAAAGGGACTTCTTATGCCATTATTGCATGTCAGCAACTATATTATCAAAAAAGCAATTATTTTTCTTTGTTTCTACACTTTCTTTTCATCTGTTACTGATTTTTTTACTTTACTTTACTTTCTTTATCTTTAATATTCTTTTTTATTTATTTTGCCAAATAAACAATCATGAACCATCCTAAAGTCTCAGCAAATGTAGCAAGATAGTAGCTCAAACTCAGTAAGGAGCTTGTAGCTAAATAGTCAGCACTTCAACAGAATATCCCATCTACTGCAGGCCTCCAACTTTAATACTAAAGTTATTGGGCAAATTACAACTGGAATACATTCTTTGACAACTGTTTTGAGAGAAGAGGACAAAAGTGACACAGTACTGAAAATTCAGGCCAGAGGATTTGTTTTGAAGTCTTAATCAGTAAGAGGATAGTAGATTTCTATTTGCACTGCCATTCTCACAACTGGATTTTGAAAAAAAATAATCTGAAGGGGCTTTTTGTGAAAATTGCAGCATTTACTTAATTCTGTACAATTGGGACTAAATCTATTTATTTTTAAACTTAGATAAAGTGTATATTAAAATCACTGAATTTTGCTTCCAAGCAACCTCAAACAAAATACCTGACATATATCCAGTGATTTTCAGTTGAAGAACTATTTCTAAAGTTTTTCATACAATACTGCAAAATGGTCTGTCTGACATTGATAATGATCCTTATAATGGAACTTTTCCCAAAAGGCTACTTTTATTCCTTAGTTAAATTCAGAATTTATGTATACAATTAAATTCAGAATTTAGGTATATCTGTTCACAACTAAAAAGAGAGAGAAGACTGCAGTATTGTTTATCCTTCACTGTTTTTATAATTCTTCCTGTATTTTGCAAAGAAACATAATTAGCTTTAAAAGCTTCCAGCAGAAATCAAATTTTATAGTGTTTTAAGTACCAATCTTTCCCCAGTTTAATGGGTTATATCAGACATGTCAAACCCGCGATGTCATGTGATGTTGCGCAACGTATTGGGACTGTTTTGCCATTGCTGGCAATGGGGTGGGCGCGGCTTCCACGTGATGCGTCTGGCCCAAGGGCCAGCAGTTTGACACCCCTAGGTTATATGTTTCTTGGAATACAATTATTAAAAATAAATTTGATGCAAAGATTATACAGAGACCAAAATATCATTGCATTCAAAAGCAAAGTTCCGTAGCAATCAAAATCATACATAAGATGATTCACAATTAGAGCAGTATAAAAGTTAAAATCTTGATTCGCATGAAGCTATCGCATGTGACAGACCAGGCATCTTTGAGATTGCTATAGATAAAGACTCCACCCATCAAATTCAAGAGCACAGGATATTTATTTATTTGTTTGTTTGTTTGTTTGTTTGTTTGAAGTATACTTTCGAGTCCTTGCAGAAGCTCATTAAAAACCTTGCAGGAAGTTTTCCAGGGATTAATTATAATTTTTAACTGTCAATATAATCCATATTTGTTTTATTGTAAAATATTACCAAAGAAGTAGTACAAGATTGGAAGATGTGGAGACACGGTGCCTATAGAATTGCCAAGACTTGGGGACAACTGAATGAATAACATCATCATCACAATACTGTATTGCATTTTCATTTTTACTGCTGCATTGGCTGCAGCTGTTACTTTCGTATACATGTTTGTTTGATTGAAATGGTGTATACATTTATAAATATTTATCTATAGTGAAATCCAAACATCACAATAATCACAATGCAGCATTTTCTTCCAAGGTTGCCTGGAAAATCCATTATAAAGTTAACTTCAAGAGATATGACATAAGTTACTAAAATGGATCTATCATGGCATAAATTCACATGGTACATAAGTCACATAGTCAGCTGCTAACCAGAATATATTTTGGTCCGGACATTGCAAAAAATATATGGAAAGCATTGAATACAAGCTGCATATATATCTATATACAGTATTCATATATATATAACGTACATCCTATAAATAAATAAATAAATATACAACCTATAAATAAAATAAATATTCTATATTTACAATGTTGCAAGGATATTTGGAGAAATTGGGCAAGAGATAGTGATTAACTATACAGTATATTTTAAGAAAATTCTACATGAAAATAATTTTTACTTTACTTTTTTTTTAAAAAAATGTCATTATGCTAGATTGGATAGACTGATGACTAAATGAAAGTAAAATTGATACAGAATAGGTATGACCCTCCTATCAATCCTGCAGCCTCCCTCAATTTTCCGAAATTTTTCTAGATTATTGTTTACAAATAAGAACTAGAATGGCAGCTGTCCCTCTCAGAGGAGAAATGCTCCATTTTCTTCTTCTTTTCTTCTCTCTCTCTCTCTCTCTCTTTTTTTAAAAAAGACCTGTTCTCTAATATTTCTATAAACTAACCCTTTTATTGTAGGAAAAGTACAGTATATTCCTGCTTTTCATGGTCTTCAGCCAATAAATAAAAGTATTGACATAAATATTATTCTATTTTTTTATGGAGAGTATTGCTACAACATTTAAAAAAAAACAAACATCCAGGCTGTTAGTGAAGTGTTTGTGGACATTAGTATATCCTCTATTCAAAATCCCAAAGTAAGAGCAAATAGCATCATTTTTAGTATTTCTAACCTTTTAAAAATGGTAAAAGTTATTTTTTCAATGCATGCAGACAAAGTTATCATTAATTTCTATCTGTTTCAGAGAATAGAGCAGTGGTTGAGAAACTATGATTTATGCTAGTGTATTGTCATGCTAAGACTGTCTTTCAAAAACTTCAGTTGGATGACATTGACATTTATTTCCAAGAATGTCTAATTTCTAAATGGGCAACTACAGCCCAGTGCTTACAGTAGATGACTTACTAGGTATCCAGGAGGGAAAAAAAAACATGCTACATGGGCAAAGTAAGGAATGCCCTATGGTAGGAGTTGCCTATTCACTTAAAATTCTCTTAGTATGTGCTAATTGACTAGTTTGGGTTATGGAAACTTGAGCATTGCATGCTTTTGCTGATGAAACTGCATGCCTACATATAGGAAAGAAAAACTAAATGCACAGGCATAGACTAGGTGAAACTTGGCTCAACTGCAGCAACTGTTGAGAGAGGTGTCCTAGTAGACCATGACTTAAGTACTGTATGAGCCAGTAGTTTGCTGCAGCTGCCAAAAAAGCTAACACACTCTTAGGTTGCATCAACAGAGGGATAGTTTCAAGATCACATGAAGTGATACTACTGCTTTATGATGCACTAGTGAGACCACATTTGGAATACTACATCCAGTTCTGGTCATCAGAAAAAAAGATGCTGGTATTGACTTACCTATACTAACTAAGATATGTCTGTATATGTTGGTTATACATGTAGTCTTCGACTTACAACAGTTCATTCAGTAACTGTTCAAAGTTACAACAGCACTGAAAAAGTGACTTATGACCATTTTTCGCAGTTACAACCTTTGCAGCATCCCCATGGTCACGCAATCAAAATTCAGATGCTTGCCAAGTGACTCATTTTTGTGACGGTTGCATTGTCCCGAGATCATGTGATCAACTTTTGCAACCTTCTGACAAGCAAAGTCAATGGGGAAGCCAGATTCATTTAACAACCGGGTTACTAAAGTAACAACTGCAGTGATTCACTTAACAACTATGGCAAGAAAATGGGGCAAAACTCACTTAACAAATGTCTCACTTAACAACAAAAATATTGGGGTCAATTGTAGTCATAAGTCGAGGACTACCTGTACAGAATATCAGTCCACGGAATCAGTTTAGATGTGCTACCCCAGCCACAGCCTAGTCAGTTGGCAGCTTACAAACTGCTATAAACAGATAAAGAAATATGAAGGGGGCAAAGATAAATTTTAAATAATACAGCATTTTGATCTACAAGCTTTCCTTAAATGAAATACTCATGAAAGATGTATTACGGTAAGTATGAAGAAGTGTCTATTTGTCATGAGAAATGTTGCACCAGAAAATATTTTACAGATATCTGTTAATTTCCCCTTACCCAATGGGAGCTTTAGAAATGATGGTGCTTCCCTGAGGTATTGAACGGAGATGGCAACTTCATCGCCAGCATTTCGCAGTAGTTGCACCTGTCAGTGTGATAAATAACAGCTACTTTATACCAAAGAACCAGCCACAGAGAGCAAAATAATCTACATCAAAAAGCTGCATCTCACTAGGTGTGTCAGAAATTCAATATTCAACTTTATCACTAGAATGAAGATTATCTTGAGGATCAAACCACAGCAATTATAAAGCTTAAGTTATCCACAATCAAGGAAGAGATGAAAAATTAAAAATGTGAAAAACATTCTTAGTTCCTACATAGCAAAAACAAGCAAGCAAATAAATAAATAAATAAGTAAATAAGTAAATAAGTAAATAAGTAAATAAGTAAATAAGTAAATAAGTAAGTAAGTAAGTAAGTAAGTAAGTAAGTAAATAAATAAATAAATAAATAAATAAATAAATAAATAAATAAATAAATAAATAAAATGTTTCAAAGCCATTTCTTATGTAACAGAAGACAATCTAGCTAAAGGAAAATGCTGCAATTTCAGTGTGGGATTGAACCAATCTAGATGTATGCTTATATTTTTAAAATCCCAAATTTATGAGATTTAAAAGTTCTCCGCTCTGGTTAGATTTTGAAATTCTGGCAGAATCTACAGTATGATTCTGGTTGCATGCAAAGAATATAAGAATGCTGAGTTACAATTTCCTGTGAATTGTTGTTCCTACAAATTTAACAGTTGGGAACAAAGAATATTAATATATATTAAATATTAATGATTTGCCAATCATTTGAATAGTAACCTGACTGACACATTTGCAGTGAGGTAAAATTCAAACTCAGTTTGATTTCACACTAAATTATATCATAGTAAAAATAATAAATACCCAAATAGAGGATTCTTGACAAGCAGGTAGTGTGCACATTTGTATGTGTGTATTTTTTCCTTATCTATACTTAATACTTTATTTCAAAATAAAATTTCACTTTAAATTACTGGTTAGTAGCAAAAGCAATGAGCACTTATGACAATATTTATAATATTACTAGTACCATTCAATGGGCAGAAAGTGCTTGCCAAGTATCCTCACTTAATCACCCAGAGTATGTTACTGCAAAATGTATTGTCTCCTTACAGAAGAAACTCTGCTTTTTTATTAGTGAAAAATCCCAGCTAAAATCTCAGCCCAAATTTGATAACCTGCCTCATCACTGCTCAAGTGTTAAGAGCAATGTTAGGATTTCAGATTTGCCTTTAGGATATGGGGAAATCCAGGTATATTCATGTCTCTTAAGTATTTTGACTGATTATGTGTTACTCTTCTTAAAAGAACATCCAGACTTAGATCAGGGACAGATATCTTTAAGTTCTCAAAATCTTTTCGGACTATATTTGCCTGTAATATATAAGTTATTTCTTTTTGAAAGTTGCCTAGTATTTGGTATGATTGCTGCCCTTTTACAAAACGTTGTCATTTAATTAAAAAAAACAATCATAAATGGGGCTGCTGGATGAAGACATTTGATGTATTTTCTAATATGAGAGCTTTTTTTCTCAAGGCAGAGAGAAAAAAACCCCACATTATGTTAGGCAATGATGGCAACCTGTGTTATTGGAAGTCAAAACATCAGTGTAATATAAACTATGAGACAGTACAACTATGAGAAAAGGCCGCAAGTGGGCCATTTATAAGATCTATATTTCTACAAAAAGAAAGAGAGATTCATAAAAAAATTCAAACCCACAAAAAGTGTTTAAAAATGAAATAAAATTGAATATGTGCATATGAACAAGGACAATATGGGAAAACTGCATCTTTATATCATCAAATAGACTAGTGTGGAAAAAATGGAAATTCAATAGAACCCTGGTGCATTGATTTATCCCTTTATACCAATATAGAATAGAATAGAATAGAATAGAATAGAATAGAATAGAATAGAATAGAATAGAATAGAATAGAATTCTTTATTGGCCAAGTGTGATCAGACACACAAGGAATTTGTCTCCGATGCATAAGCTCACAGTTTACATATGAACAGCAAGTAATAGGTGATGAGAAATGAGATAGTGCTGTGGGAATTAAGTGTTCAGCAGAGTAATGGCACTGGGGGAAAAGCTATTTTTGTGTCTAGTTGTTTTGGCATGCAATGCTCTATAGCAGCATCATGAGGGGAGAAGCTGAAACTGATTATGTCCAGGATGTGAGGGATCTGTAGATATTTTCTTAGCCCTTTTTCTGGTTCATGTATTGAAGTCTGTACCTCTCCTGTTTGGTTGCTGTGCCAAATCAAACAGTTATTGAGGTACAAATGACAGACTCAGTAATTCCTCTGTAGGACTGTATCAGCAGATCCTTGGGGAAATCTGAGCTTTCTGAGTTGAGGCATTCTTTGTTGTGCCTTTTTAATGATGATTCTAATGGCAGGTGTCCATTTCAAATCCTTGGATATAATAGAATCTAGAAACTTGAAGGTCTCTACTGTTGATACTGTGTTGCCTAATATTGTAAGAGGTGGTAGAATAGGAGAGCTTCTTCTAAAATATATTATCTCTACAGTTTTAAGAGTGTTCAGCTCCAGATAGCTCCACGGGGCCAGTTGATCTACCTCTTGTCTATATGCAGATTCATCATCATCTCAAATGAGACCAATGACTGTTGTATCATCTGCAAATTTCAGTACTTTAACAGAGAGATCCTTTGAGATGTAGGCATTGGTATAGAGTGAGAAGAGTAATGGGTAGAGCACACAGCCCTGGGGGGCTCCTGTGTTAATTGAACAGAGGTTCAATATGATTTTCCCTAGCTTCACCTGCTGCTTCCTGATCATTAGAAAGCTTATGATCCATCTACAGTACAAATGTGGTCAGGTAGCTCAGGAGAATCTTCGGTCAACACAGCATATGTGCACACTTCAAATCCAAGAATACACTAAGGCAGAAGCTTGTCCACCCCAAGGATAAAACACCCAGACACAATCTGAGCAATGTGGTATATGCAGTACAATGCAGTGAGCCATGTGCTGATCTGTACATTGGGGAAACGAAACAACTTCATAAACGTATGGCACAACATTGGAGAACAAACCCATCAGGACATGATTCAGCAGTCTATCTGCATTTAAAAGGCAAAGGCCACTCTTTCGAAGACAGCAAAGTTCACATTTTAGACAGAGAGGACCGCTGGTTTGAAAGAGAGGTCAAAGATGTCAAAGGCCATCTATGTCAAAATTGAACAGTCCCCTCTCAACGGAGAGGGAGGGATATGACATCATCTATGTCCAGTCTACCACACAGTCCTTTCAACAGTTCCAAGAAGGCTCCACACACATTTGCACTACTCAGGTGACCCTGAAGACATAGATAAGCCTCCATGTAGTTTAACAACTCTCTAAAAGAATGCAAATGAACATCTGTCTGCAAGGAATATAAATCTTTCCATTCCCCACCATCCAGTCAGAGCTGAAGAAGCTTCTTGGATGAGAAGCGAAACGTTTTCAAAAAAAAACAAGAAAGTCCAGTTGCTTCATAAAAAAAGCATCTTTGGGATAACTATAACCTGGATGACTGAGAATCTCCATAGACATTTGAATACTTAGCAGTATAGAAATATTTGAAATGCTTGCCTAAAAATGGGAGAGAAAAAATAAATATTTCTATGGTCAGCATTTTTAAACTTGCTGTATATGAGGCAAATTGTACTGGACTAGTTTATAAATTGACATAAAGGATGCCAAGTTACAAGCTCAAGGGATAGGTTTTTTGTAAGCAATACAACTTTGAGGCTTCTGGGAATTTGTTATTTGTGGTAAAGAGTTGTCTTAACTAAAGGAGTACTACAATATGCCTGAACATTCTTGTACCTGTGAGGAGACATATTTGCTACTGATTTGTTGAATCATTTTGAGATCTGTTTTGGTCAATTCTTTATTTGCATTTTGTATTTTATTTTTCCATGATTCATTTGGGCACATCTTTTGTACTCTGTGCAAGAAAGGGACTGCATAATAATTGTACATTATTCTGATATTTTCCAAGGAAAAGGTCATTGATTTAATTGGATAATTCCTTCTATCTGTATATAGATGGATCTCAACCAGAACAAGACCGCTACATCTCATTTAAAGGGGGCAGAAGAATACGCTATGCAGCACTATAAGGCTACAAGGAAAAAGATATTTTAAGGCAGAACATTTGGGCAACTCCTTAAACCAATTGTGCCTTGATATTTGTGCAGCTGCACAATCCTGGGAAAAAACTCACCTGCTTTAAGTCGTTGCCTATAGATACAGTGTGAGCACCCTCATGCCATATTTATTTCATTTATTAGTGCATTTTGAACCATGTCACAATAATTTCTTCTTCCTTCATCCCTATTCCCTTCCCCAATCTATTTATATGAGATATATAACATACATACATACATACATACATACATACATACATACATACATACATACATGTCTGTTATATTCTATATTTTTCAAAAGGTTTGTTCTCTTATCTGTTTAGCATAATAGGAATGACATGGCTTTTTCAGCAATATAAGGAATTTAAATGTTTAATTCCATAAAGATTCCTTCTGTTCAATGTCAAGTATAAACAGAGGAACATAGAATGCACATGGGGGGGGGGGGAATTAGGAACGCTCATTTCAAATAACATTGAGTAAATTGAATGGTACATTAAAACTTTTTTGGGAAAAAATTAACTTTAAATATTATGGGAATTATAAGACAGTCAAATTGTTTATAAATGATCAGAGTAAAAGTTTAAAAAAATGTTGGTTGAGCTTTTGTCCATGTTTAATGAAAAAGATATTTATTTTCTAATCTGTGGCTTTCTAAACTTCATTAATATCCATTTTAAAGGTGGAATGAACTGATATTTTCTCTCTAGGCCACCAACATCACCTAATCACTTTGCCCCTGTCTTTGCTAATGTTATGGTAATGAAGCCTTCAAATCTGCATCTGAAGCTTTTTACGTTTCTGGGGGAAATAGTGTAATTCAAAGCAGTATGCTCTCAAGCTCTTTTGTGAATAACCAAGGAAAATATAAAAATTCACATTAGTA